AGCGCCCAAAAAAATCCCCAAAACCCACAGGTGGCCCAGGGCAGGCAAGGGGACTCTGTGAGAGCAGACCTCCACGCTTCCTGCGGCAGAGCACAGCCTGTACCCCCCATCCAGTGCTCCACAGCACACCCATCTGCTGAGCACCCTCCTTTCTGCACACTACAGGGACCCACGAGCACCCACCAGCCCCCAGCCCAGAGGGGTGCCGAGGGAGCGCCCCGGGCTCACCTTCACGTAGCAGTAGTAGTGCCCCGCATGGCAGCTGTACCCAGAGTGCACCAGCACTGCATAGAGTCCGTACATGATGGGATCCCCATTGTTCTGAGACATGTAAGGGCGGATGTTCAAGAACTCGGGGTACCCCACGTCCTGTGGAGAGAGGACATCTCAGGAGCCTGCACAGCAACGGCTTTCTCGCTAGAGCAAGAGCAGCTCAGCTGTCCTATGAGTCCCATCTCTTGAGGGAGGGGGACCCGCTCTCCCCAGGCAGAGGTCACGGTGAGGAAGGTGCCAGGGTGAGCCAAACTCGCACTGCACAGCTGGGGAAAGGCTGCAGGACTGCAGCAGAGCTCACACTGCACACAGGACCACCTCCCACCCTGCTCTGGGCAGCAGGGCCTCAGGCCAGGCAACAGCCCCAGCTCTGGAGCACTCACCTTTGTGATTTTGCCTCCACTGAAGTTGGCAAAGCGCTTCAGCGAGAGCGTGAGAACATTGGAGGCTCGGTGGATGGTGAAGCGTTTGCTGGCTGGCACTTTCTTCTTGCATCTGCACAGGAAGAGCTCGAGCTATTCAAGCTGTTCCACCACCCAGATGATTGCCAGCCCTGGCCAAGCGGCAAACCCCACGGAAATGACCCTGCTGACACCAGGCACTGCTCCAGGGCACCTGCTCACGGCCACGTCTGCTGGCCCAGGTCCTCCTCACGAGAGGAGGGAGCTGAGGAGGGGCAGGCTCCATCGCAGGCTTCCACAGCCACATACCTCATGGTTCAGCCATGGAGCAGGTAGAGAAGCCCTCCCGTACTGTGGCAGGCTCTCCGCCTGCTTCCCACCAGCACGCCCGCCCCTTCCCGCCCGCAGCCCCACACACTCACTTGGCACACATGTAGGCGTTCTCCCCGCCCAGCACGTCTGACTTCACGAACAGCTCCAGCGCCCGCACTATGTTTGCCGCTTGCTGCGAGGGCAGAGGAGAGGTCAGAGCACGAGTGGCCTGTCCACGCAACAGCCCGGCTCCCTGCCGAGACACTGGCCCCAAGCAATAACACAGAGCACGAGCACAGGGCCGCAGGCCACGCCAAACCCATGAGCCTGCCAGCGGCTAGGCACTGCCCAGGCTGCCCCGG